AACTCCGAATGTGACAGCTAGTTCACGGCTAGATTGAAATGGATCCGATTGCAATGCGTGCTTCAGCATGTCCAAATCCAACTCACGGGGTCTCCCAGAGCGATCCTTTTCATCGAGCGAGAAGTCATCTTTTTCGAAACGATGGAACCAATTGCGAATAGTATTGTAGTGAGGGGCATGTGTGTTGTACACATTCTTCAAGAAAGTTTCCGAATCCTTCATCGTGGTGTGAGATAGGAAGAGGTAAATCAAAACATGTCTGATGTGAATAGCAGTGGGAACAAACATATCGTTTCAATTACAGATGAGGAGCAGGGAAGGAGATGGGGACTTGTTTATATGGAAGGTTCTTATCACCTTGTTATTCACTAGAGTCGATATCATACACAGCCTCCATATACGAGAACAGTGATTAAACAAACAGAGTGACAAAGACTTTCCCGCCAACCTAATAGAAAGAAAAAACTCACTGTGTTCATGAATCTAGTAAAAAAAACCATCGGTTGACTTCAGCAAACAATTGGTTCTCGCAATCCTCTTGTTTCACTTTTGAATCCTGAAATGACCGACGGAGAGTATCTTCTTAGTCTTGCAAAATTGCAAATATGAACTAACCGCCAAGCTTCAACATCTGTATTATTGGATTCGTATACGCATACAGCCAAATTCTTCGAATTGGCCAAATTCTTCGAATTGACGCCACTTCATCGTATCTCTTACTAGCTTTCGATTTCTTTGACGTTAATATAGAGATTCTGAAAAATTGATGAATAAATCGGTTTGGTATATAACATTTTTATTAGGATATTTTCAGCTCGAGACCTATTCAATTCTAAACACTAGAAGACGTCAAGAAAATAATGACAACCACTACGCCAAGCAGGCGGTTGTTTTCTGCGGTAATGTCAAACTTACCAAAAACTCGCACGAGATTAGCACATTTTTTTTGCGAACGAGTCTGTACGAGGAAAAAACCTATAAGAGGCGGCAATCACTGGAGAAGATGATTTCTAACAACTTAAAAGACTGATGGTCAACAATTTCATCAGTTATTGGTTATTTCCGTTGCTTGAGGAGTCTCACGAGCTTAAAATAACTTTTTTTCCAACGAATTCGTCAGACGGAGAGGCCCCTTCACATATAAAACGACAATCGAAGAAGAAAAGCGCATTTCAACGACTCCAGTGGCCGTTGATCG